ATTCCATTCCCTTTTGAATCATATGCCTTGCAGATGCAGAATTTATTTATTTTATTTTAATTTTATTTATTAATTTGTCAAGCATATATAAGTTATTCTTTACAACCCAATTCAATTCAGAAATATTTTGGACACACACACACACAAAAAAAGGTTACATTTTGCTCAGACAGCTACATTCCATTTTTCTGGACCCAACTTTATATGGATGACCGAGGATCAGAATCTAGTGATGTGTTTATCTATTCTTACACAGAGCTTCTTCCTGGAGCTCTGTTGAAATGGTCACTTGTCTGCGTGCAACAGAAAACTGAAGTGGCAGTCCCATTGTGAATCAGAGGCAGTGATGAAATGTAAAATTTGTTACTACCAGTTCTGTGGGCGTGGCTTGGTGGTGGTGGGGTAATATGACTTAGTGGGCATGGCCAACTTTTTTTTTTTTTACTTTTAAAATCATTTTTTCTACAACCTCTTTGGCTGAAGAGGTTGTAAAAAAAAATGCTTTTAAAGCCTCTGATGATCCCAGCTGACTTGCCTGATCGGCAGAGGCTTTCTTTTTCTTTTTTTAAAGCCTCTGAGGATCCCAGCTGACTTGCCTGATTGGCAGAGGCTTTCTTTTTTAAAAAAAAAAAGCCTCTGAGGATCCCAGCTGACTTGCCTGATCGGCAGAGGCTTTCTTTTTTTTTTTTAAGCCTCTGAGGATCCCACCTGACTTGCCTGATCGGCAGAGGCTTTCTTTTTCTTTTTTTAAAGCCTCTGAGGATCCCAGCTGAGCCGCCCGATCATCAGAGGCTTTTTTTTTACTTTTAAAAGCATTTTTTCAACCAAAGAGGTTGTAGAATAAATGCTTTTAAAAATAAAAAAAAAGCCTCTGATGATTGCGTGGCCCAGCTGGGCAATGGTGGGGGGGGGGGCAGGGATTTTTGCTACCGGTTCTCCGAACCACCCGCCTCCATTGCTACTGGATCAGACGATCCGGTCCAAACTGGGAGCATTTCACCCCTGATCAGAGGTATCCTTGTTCTGGCTTGCAGCTCCAGGACATATTTCATGCAGGGAAGGACCTCCCCTCCCACATTCCTGCTGGAAAAGCCATCTACCAAGCTCCAGCAGTTCCAGAAGGGTATTTAAGGAAGGAAAGAAGCTGTAGAGAGTTCTGTTTTCTGCTGCTCTATAAAATCTGACTTCTAACTGCTGGTCAGCTGTTATTCAGGCTGATCCACGTCTCAGAGCAGAAATCAACTTGGAGATCTGGCTGCCAACAGAGAATGGGATTGGGCAAGAATCCATTCAAATGACCAGTGAGATAGAAAAAGTTGAAATGTATCAACATGAGTCACTGATATAAGAAGAAAGAGGAATATTTGGGAAAATATTTTGAAACAAGGTTCCTTTTCCAAAGGAATGGTCTCTCTTTGTTCCAAAATGGTGCCAGAAATACCAGAAAGATGGCAGAACTACATTTAGTGAAGAAAAGCTCAGAAGAATGGAGACCATCCTGTTCATAATGAATCATATCTAGAAGATGATGGTAAAATTGTTCCCAAATTGTTGCTGATAGTCTGCCTGTTGGGACATGCATCTTTGCTTGACTTGACTTTTTTGAGATTTTGGGATTTAAGTACGGTATATGCAGGCTTCATTGGGAAGCTAGAAAGTCATGGAACGGTCAACAGTCAGTGAATACTCCTTCAGTGGTATTCCTAAAAGATGGACATGTTTTCAATGTAATACTTCATTGCAAGTCTATTTACTGAATTGTAAAAAAAAAACAAAAAACCAACCCTAAATTACCAGCCATCTCTCTCCAAGAAAATTAGGTTTAGTAAAGCATTTCTCTACTTCTCACTATCTCTGTTCAGTTCATTTAAAACAGTAATTCTGATTGACCCTGAAAAGCTGTGTTCCTTTCTACAGTACTTCAAAGCTCCACAGTTAGCCATCACAAAACGTAATCTTCGAATTCCTCTGCTATTTTTCAAGATCTCCTTTTCTAACACCCCCTCTGTGCTTCAACTGCTGTTACATGTGCACAAGAATGAACATTTCCTGTGTGCCTTTATAATTGAAAATAATCAAGATTCAGCACTCAATGGATGCTTGCTCTGTCAAAAACCATCAGATGTACAGTACTTATTTCCTTCAAAATGTCAGCAGTTCCTCTTTAGAATTCCTTCTTCTGGCCACCTAGATCTTCTAGAAGTAGGCTCAAAATAGTGGCATCATTCTTTCACCACTCCCAGCCTTCCTTAAACCTTGGAGAACTTTCCTCCAAAACTGACTAAAATCTTCCTTTTTTGTCTTTGTCTCTGTAATTTCATTTTCCTTCTGTCTGTCTAGCAATCTAGCAGCAGGGGGCAATCACACGTCTCCAAGCCTCCTTCTTCCCTATGAACCTTTCTTGACTTTCCCTCCAATGCCAATTAACTCGACCACAGCCAGCTGCCTTCAGCAATCCTTATTCAAGCTGCTTGTGGAAAAAGAAGCAGGAGCAGGAAAGTCTACTACTTACCTGCATCCAAGCAGAAGACTGAGGTGGTTCTTCTCCAATCACTCTCCGAATGCTTGGAGTAGGGGCAAAGAAAAGACTTGGGCAGAAGAAGTAGCATTGGATTTTCCTCTAGCGTTTACTAACTAGTGATTTCTTGGACAGTAAGCCAGGCCTGGAATTCTGTGTATTTCTCTGCAAGATTTTTCACTTCTGGCAATGCCTTAATAGGACTGATGTGTTGATTGGCAAAGTGGCTTGATCTTGAATTAAACTTTCAAGAAGAAGAGGAGGAGGAGGAGGAGGAAAGAGGAGTTATGCATCTTCCAAATGTTTATTTCCCTATTTGATAGGGAAAAGCCAAGTTGCCTAATTAAGCTGGTTAAATGCTGCTATTAAGCTGATAGTGTATTTTTCTTGGGAAAATAAATTTGAGGAGGGAATAACTTATGTGTCTTAACACCACCATATTTTCCAGCTTAATATCATGAGATTTTTTAGCAATATTGAGCTGTGATGGTTTGTTCTATTTGTTTTGTTTTTTGTTGGATCATTTCTGTATTTCTGCCAGCACTGAAAATAGGGTAGAAAATTACAATAAAATACAGTATTCTGCCCAAGAGCTCTGCTTCATCATGTCATTACTAGCCTTTTTGCCACAATCTTTTCCTTTCCTTTCCCTCCCAGCCGTTTTCAACAGTAAAAAGTAAGACTACTTTCCGGTTGTATATAGTGGTTGATGATTCATGGGCATGTCTGTTTCTTGACAAGACAATAGAAATGGTTTGCCATTGCCTTTTCAGAGGTAAGTTTTTGAATTTCCAGTCTAGCCTACATCCCCGGGGCTCTCCCACCTAATACTAACCAGGCCTGACTGCTTAGCTTTCACATGCAGATAAGGTGAGACAGTTGTTACCACTGATGGATATTTATACATTTCTCAAACAAGAATTGACTCCATTCATCTGAAGGTCAATCTGTTTCTTCTATTGCTCTGAGTACTGAGGAGTTCTCAGAGAGATTTTTGATTTTCCTTCCTTACCACACAAATGAATAGCCAAATGAGTCCACCTGCAATTTATCTCTCTCTTTCTCCTCTACCCCTCCCATTCTCTCTCTCTCTCTCTGTTGAGTTGAGCTGCAGGTGTGTGCTCGTGCACCAGCCTACTGCTTGCGCAAATTGAGCTGTGCACACATGTGCACATCGACCCATCACTCGCAGGGCCCAGTTCTGAATAGGCCATGGCCAGGTAATGGGCTGCAGCCCAGGGGTTGGGGACCCCAATCCATCTTCTATCATGTCTGCCTGCCTGCCTGCCTGCCTGCCTGCCTGCCTGTCTATCTGTCATCATCATCTCCTTATTTGGATCCTGATGAATGAGAAATACACAGTATTTATTTCTGCGGTTTCATCTCTTAATATTTTCCTCTTTCTCTTTCATTGCTTACTGTTTCACTCTTCCATTTTAGCGTTTGACAGAACGTATACATTTACATTCCATTAAATGAATAAGGTATTCGTAGCACGATGGCATAAACCAGTTGGTTCCCAATGCTCAGATTACTTGTTCAACTAAAGGTAAAAATCTGAAACTATTTTACTTTACATGTTTGAACTTGACTTCATAAATAATTGTCATATTTTTTCCTGACAAATAGAATTCTCTTTCCAAATATAATATTTTTTCTACAATTGTTATAATAATTAAAAACATGTTCAGGAAGGAGATATGTTTGATAGGCAAGCTTCACTATTGACCCAATCCCTACCTAGAAGCAGACACTGGGTTTCTTCCAAAATTTCATTAGCCGACCTTTATTTACGCAACAGCAGTTTTTCTCATCCTTTTAGAATTGCTCTGAGATGAGTAAAACTTCAAATTTCTAGAGCATGTTTTGGGAGCAAAAATTTGGAGAAAAAGTTAATAGATGGATTGACACTACTGGATTAAAGTAGCACATTAGAGTTTGGAGTGTGTGTGTGTGTGTGTGTGTGTGTGTGTGTGTGTGTGTGTCTTCTGTAGAAACCTTTGACTATAGAGACCTGGAAACTGGGGGCACATCTGTCATTTTGGCAGCATGTCTTAAGCATTCTTAAGCACAATTCCAGATGTGCAATGGTTGCCACTGGAAGTGCTATTTACACATAAGCTTGAGAAAGATTAAACAATAGATGCTAGGAAGAAAAAAAAAAGTGTAGTGATTAAGGTCCTGGACGTGAATCAAGGAAACCTGTGTTCATTAAAATGTTTTTTTAAAAAGTATTACAAGTTTAGGCAGGATAGGGAGCCAAAGGTATCATGAGGAGAATCCTGGATAGATTTCATAAGCAGTTAGTATTCTACAGGACATTTCAATCCATTTGAAAGCTATTTCTCCTCCAAACAAAATCAGAAATTGATAAAAGAAACAAATCATAATTAAAATATTATTTAATGATTAAAAAAATAAAATTGAAATAAAGAGAATGCATACAGACATTATTTGTTAGGTAAAGCCTTTTGGCTCCTACCTCAAAGCTCTCACATGCTAGTTTCTTCTGTTCAACCAGAGAGATGTCAGAATCAGTATCATTTTCATCATCTAACGTTACTCCCAGAGTCTTTATTTTCTGCCGCAAATTCTTGATGTGCAATTTCAAGTTTAAGAGTTCATTTTTCAGATCTTCTATCTCCTTTTCAAAAAGACAGACCAAAGCAAATGAGAACATGTGGACATTGATCAAAATGTCAAAATCAAAATATTCTGCAATAGTGTACTGTAGTGATTAAGGTTGAGGGAGCCATTTTAGTGTAAGTGGTTAAGGCGCCAGGGAAAAAAACAGGAGACTGTGAATTCTAGTTCCACTTTTGGTATGAAAAATGGCTGGGTGACTTTGGTCTAGTCACTCTCTCCCAGCCCAAAATGTCAGACGTAGGCTGTTGCAACAAATGGATTAACATTTAATTGATCCAAAAACAAAGCAGATCCTGCACGGGTATGAAAATGTTAGGGGAAAAAAAAAAGTGTAGTGTGCTGAACTTGGCTCAAGGAAACCTGTGTTCAAATTCCCGTTTAAAGTACAGCTATATCCACGATGTCAATCTTCAGGCAAATATTGCTAGATGCTGATTTACCTGTACATAATCCTCCTTAACAGCTTTCAGGTCAGTGTTCAATTGATCTACTTCTTTTTGAAGGGCTTCTTCGTGAGGGCTCCTAAAAATGATATATTTCTTTATACAACTATTCTGGAATAAAAAACAATGTTTTTGCTTAACGTAAAATTAGTAATTTCATTTGTTCTTTGGTCTGTTCTTGGTAACACAGACACTAAAACTTCTTGAGAACATTGCTATTGTTCTCAAGGAGTGTTTCTCAACCTTGGTAGCTTGAAGATGGGTGGACTTCAACTCCCAGAATTCTGGGAATTCATCTTCAAGCTTCCAAGGTTGAGAAACACTGCTCTCAAGGGAGATAAACCAGATGTGCATGTGATTCCACACATCTGGAGGGCACTAAAATAAAGAAAGTGCCATGAAATCATTTTTTACTCCAAGCAACCACATACTGTAGCCATCTATCCCTAAGCTGTCCTTGAGGTCTTCCAACATTGCACTCATCACCATTATAGCGAACATAAAGAAGGTATTTATAAAGAAGGTCCATTAGAAATCGAGTAACCAGCTGGAGGAAGCTGTCCTATCCTATAAATATGATTTCCCCTGGATTCTGAGGGCTAGAAGGATCATGAAAGCTGAGATTAAGTGGATCCATTATATAACAATCCAGAGATATTGTTTTTGGTGAAGAAATGATTGGTTTTTAATCCACTAGGGCAGTGATGGCTAACCTTTTTGCCGTTGCGTGCCAAAAGTGTGGGGGGAGTGTGGGAGGGTCATGTGCATGTATGCCCACCCCCATAATTCAATGCACCCCACCCCCATGCATGCACCATGACCCCCCCGCGTTCCCCCCACTTTTGGCAGGCGATGGCCTGGTAGGCCTGCTTTTCGCCCTCCCCAGGCTCCAGAGGCTTTCTAGGAGCCTGGAGAGGGCAAAAACAGCCTTCCCATCCCCTCACCCACAGGTCCTCCGGAGGCCGGAAATGGCCCATTTCCTGACTTCCAGTGGGCCCGAAAGGTCCAAAAATCAGCTGGCCGGTGCACACATGTATGCTGGAGCTGAGCTAGGGCAATGCTCATGGGCCCACAGATATGGCTTCACGTGCCACCTGTGGCACGTGTGCCATAGGATCACCATCACGGCACTAGGGGGAAAAAATGAAACATAAGATTTGAATGCTGGACTAATTATGGGCTGATCCATATTTCCTGTTTGCACAAGGATAGACCACCTACAGCTTTAGGTAGCAGGAGTGGATGATTTTTTAATTTTTAATATTTATATAAATATTTTATACAAGATACTTTTTTAATTTCTTTTATTTCATGTTACTAGACCGCCCTTCTCCCTCAAGCCTCAGCCTGTCCCAAGACTGTTAAGAAGGCAAACTCCACCAGAGTTTTCTTGCTCCACATCAAAAAAAATTCTCTCCCCTTCCCTGACTTCCCGCTGGTACAAGCCTGATGGGATTCATTCATCTTGCACAAATCCCTTGATTCTAGTTGGCTGGTGTGTGCTGTGGCAGGCACACCCTCTCTCTACTTTTGAGCTATCGCATACTGTTTGCCATGAAAAGCTAGCTAGACCTTGAGCTTATTCCCCACTGGGGTTCAGTAGAAGAGAAAAGTTGAGCATCTGTTTATTTTTTTTTTCAACAGACTCAGCATGGAAGGAGGGCCATTTGTTTTGGTGGCCACTGTTGGTTTTTTTAGCTGCTTGAAATGAACAAGAGTTCTGCCCGATTTTCTCTTCCATTTCAATGGGCAAAGGAGAACTGTAAAACGGTGTATGTTTATCACCAGTAAGTAGCTAGGGGACCTGCCCACAGGAGGGAAAGCAATCTGTTGCTTTCCTGCTGTCGTTGGGAGGGGAAAAAGCAGCAGGAGAATCCATCAATCAAGGTCTGTGCTAACAACAGTTTAACCAGAAGGCTTTGCCTTCACTGTGGCCAAAATGGAGACAGGATTAAGCAAGCTTCATTGTCACCTGTTTATGCAGAGGAGATAGGGACTTGAACGCTACAGTGTGGAAAAGCTCTCTTATCCATATCCACATGTCTTTGAGCTTGTAGTTGGCCCTTCTTGTTTGTCAGCTCTAGTTACAGCTTTAGTAACATCTGTAATAAAACTACTTCATCAAAGAATCTCCCTAGACCTACTTCATCATAGATATACGTCCTTGAATCATTTCCTTCTAGCTTTCTTGGGTAGAGCTCAACGTTCTCAGGGATCACACATGATTGCATACTTGTGAACCGATTGGGGGAAGGGAAACCACAAGAGTTTGTGTAAACCATATGGAGTTATTCTTCCATTATTAAAAAAAAAATATGACTAAGTACGGGAGGATAGAGAATGGCCAATGGTGAAGTCGGTGCCATAGCCCACATCACCTGGGATTAAATAGAATTTCCCAAAGCTCCTGATTCGTAACACTAAAATAGGTGCCAACATTGAGCTGAACTCCACATTTGATCCCGCAAAGGGGTCCTTCTGGTTCTTTTGGATCTGGCACAGCTTTTTAATAGGTTAAATAAGATGGAAACCATCCTCGTTGCTCTTGTCTGCTGTCCCTGAAAAACATGCCATGAAATTATGGGACCCTCCAGAGCAGGGTTTCTCCAACTCAGCAACTTTAATATCACTGGGGAATTCTGGGAGTTGAAGTTCACACATTTTAAAGTTACTGAAATGGAGAAATCCTGTTCTAGAGAATCCAGGAGATCTACTGGAGTGACAAAGGGAGGGGGGAATAGACCAAGTTTGATTTCCCTTTATCCCAGAATTAGCAATCTACAGACAATGAAAGACCAAAATGCAATCAAGAATTGAAATCACTAAAAAGATACATTGCAAATTAGGATTAGCAATTGAAAGCCAGTATAAATGTTAAGGCATTGGATTCAGGCTGGAGAAAGTCAGGTTTAAGTCCCAGTTCCATAACTGAGATAATCTGGTAACTTTCAATCTGTTAGGCCAAAATCTCACAAAATTGTTGTGGGAAAACCATTAGAAGAAACCCCAGCAAGCCATCTTCAGAAGAGGCAACATAAATAAAACACTGTAAGCAAATGATAGCTTTCAAGAAGACGGCATCTAGCTTCTTTACACTCAATATTTCCTTTATCCCAGTAACATATAAGCATTCTGGGATCTCACTCCTTCATTACAACATTGTATAGCCTAGATATACTAGATGGACTAAGAATTTTGTGGTTTGTTTATAGGAATAAACTTTGCCCAGTTCAAAGATGGCTCTGATTTATAGACCTATATAACGTATCACATCTGATGTTCAAATTCTCAGAAGTAATAAGGAAAAGCCATTAGTTGAGCCTACATTATTTTCTCAGTAAAGGGAAACTGCTCTTGTGAACGTGTTGGAGAATTTCTCCTTCTTCTGGAATAAATTCTGGAATTTTAGTGGGTAAAATTGAAAATGTATTATGCCTAGGTTTAGGTAACTGCTCTGGACACCTTATGGGAGCCTGCAAATAAAGATGTTTTGTTTAAAAAGGGCAAAGCTGTAATTATCACCATTAAATCAATGAAGACAAGAAACAAATTATAATGTTCAGTGGTGCTTACTGCTAGAACAATGTCATTTCAAACTTCATTGAGGTTATTTCCAAATCTCCGAATGAGCCTAATAATAAATCATCCTTTGTAAATAATAAAGGATTCTCTCTAGCTCAAGCTATATTTGACAAGGCCAGACTTCTTTGCCTGAATTACATAGAATGGGAAGAGATACCCATTTTTAAAGCAAAAGAAATATATTAGCAAAAGAAATGGAATGCAAATTAAATCCACTGTTTTGCTATGGAAACCTAGCCAACAGAGATGGGCTGCTGTGAGTTTTAATTGTTACTTGTAACTAGATTGTTACATATAACATATAACTAGAGCATACAAAACATTTGCTAGACCAATTCTCGAATACAGCTCATCTGTCTGGAACCCGCACTGCATATCGGACATTAATACAATTGAGTGTGTCCAGAGATATTTCACGAGAAGAGTCCTCCACTCCTCTGCTCACAACAGAATACCTTATGCCACCAGACTTGAAATTTTGGGCTTAGACAACTTAGAACTACGCCGCCTTCGTCTGGCCAAAGTGTAGTACATAAAATTATCTGCTACAATGTCCTACCTGTCAATGACTACTTCAGCTTCAACCACAACAATACATGAGCACACAATAGATACAAACTTAAGGTAAACTGTTCCAAACTTGATTGCAGGAAATACGACTTCAGCAACAGAGTGGTCAATGCCTGGAATGCACTACCTGACTCTACCTGGTTTCTTCCCCAAACCCCCAAAACTTTAACCTTAGACTGTCTACTGTCAACCTCATCTCATTCCTAAGAGGTCTGTAAGGAACGTGCATAAGCGCACCTACGTGCCTACCGTCCCTGTCCTACTGTCCCCATTTACTCATATCCTTATCCTGTATTCATAATCATGTTTATGCTTATAGCTGCTATGTAATACATGCTTGACAAAACAAATAAATAAAATACAAATAAATAAATATAAGCTGGCAACCGTTTTCTGAGGCTCAGTGGACAATGACAGCAGACACAGGACCACAAGGCTGCTACAAATTGTACCCCTAGAAAGTGTGGAGTATTTTTTTTATGTATGTACACTAACAATATCTCAGATTTTCCTCTTTTGCCACATTGTTTTGTACAGAACATTTTTCTTCATCCTCCTGTTTCCTGCTTTCTAGTCATGAAGGTTTCTTCTCCCTCATGCCTGTACACTTTCAAGAGAAAGTCTTCAAGATTATGTCTAGGCCAGTGGTGAAATCCACATTTTTTTTACTACCGGTTCTGTGGGTGTGGCTTTTTGGGTATGGTGTGGCTTGGTGAATGTGGCTTGGTAGGTGTGGCAGGGGAAGGATACTGCAAAATCTCCATTCCCACCCCACTCCAGGGGGAAGGATATTGCAAAATCTCCATTCCCACCCCACTCTGGGGCCAGCCAGAGGTGGTATTTGCCGGTTCTCCGAACTACTCAAAATTTCTGCTACCGGTTTTTCCAGAACCTGTTGGATTTCACCCCTGGTCTAGGCTCAGCAGATTTCGGCACAACACAAATGTTGGTGGAAATAAATACAGTGCACCGGTATACCCCATGTACATTTATATTATCTCTTTAACAGCTCCATCTCATCCGAAAAGAATTCCACATCTCACAAGTTTTTCTACTGTGGAAGGTGTGTAGTTCTTCTAATAGATAACATCTATTGTGTATTCTTTTCAAAGAAAGAAAACACAGAGCTCTTCAATCAACTGGTTTGTTATACTGTTAACAGTGACAACTCTCCCCTTTAACCGTGTACTGTTGTGATAGAACAGTCAGTGACTGTGGTAACTACATCCATTAATCATGCTTGCTTGATGGCCAACGGTGATCAGCTCGTATCCACTTGAGATGTCATTCATGTACTTTTGTTTAGAATGGTGAAGGCTCCGAATAACAATTATATGCTAAACAGTTACTTGTGACTCGTAAAGGTGAGGGGGGGGGGATTAAAATTTAATACCGATGAGCATGTCACATTAGGAAAAAAAATAATGCTTTCTGAGAGGCTTGGAAACCTTGTTCAGGTATTGAATATGGCTTACTTCTTTGTGACGTCAACTCTGCAAGATTAATGTCATCTCTTGCAGGATTTTTTGCAATATGCTGTAGCCCCTAGGCTGCATAAAATCTTACTTAGCTGCCAGATGTAAAATGCACAACTTAGAACCAAGTCCTAAGTGGCATTTGAGAAAGGCAAGCAGATTAATCGTACTAGAAGGCCAAGCCAGAATATTTTACAAAATCATTTTCCAGAATCAATTTATTAGGCAATAGATTAAATATTATTTACACAATCGCTGTTTGAAAATTAGAAATCGTCTCTTACAGTGCACTTTCTATGGTTGCGTGCATCACAATTATTCAATTTGCCTAAATATAACTCAAATATATTACGGGATGGATGGATACACACACGCACACATATGGTATATATATGAATGAAATGGGGTTTTTCCTACAAATAGCATCCTCATTGCTTTTGTAAACAGTCATATGAAATGACAACCGTACACAAACCTAAAGTTCTCTGTAGCAGAAACATAACAGTGTTTATCACCCATTTTTATCAGTGGGTCAAACATTTATCAAAATCCTAACAAATGGGGGATACTCGTCTGAGCTGGACAAACTTTCCACATCTAATTATTCCCACTGAGTAGGAATAATTAGGAATTTCAAGGAAGGATTTTTCTCCAGCAGGCATTCTTCTGATTCACCTAGTGCAGCCATCTCCAAACACGTCCTCCAGATATATTCAATTCCCCAGCCTGCACGTCAGTGATGGGTTTCAGCAGATTCTGACCAGTTCTGGAGAACCGGTAGCGGAAATTTTGAGTAGTTCGGAGAACCAGTAATAAAAATTCTGACTGGCCCCACCCCCATCTATTCTCTGCCTCCCAAGTCCCAGCTGATTGGGAGGGAATGGAGAGTTTGCAGTATCCTTCTCCTGGAGTGGGGTGGGAATGGAGATTTTACAGTATCCTTGCCCTGCCACACCCACCAAGCCATGCCACGCCCACCAAGCCACACCCATAGAACCAGTAGTAAAAAATTTTGAAACCCACCACTACTACACGTCTCTAGTATCAATTGTTAGGACCAATTGTGAAGAGGTGACTGTGCCCATTGAAGATACCTAGGTGACTAGTATGTGAAACAAAATTAAATGAGACCTTGCCTGAGATAAGCTATGTAAGCATTGTTATGCTCTTGGACAACTTCTATAGCAGTGTTTCTCAACCTTGGAAGCTTGAAGATGGGTGGACTTCAACTCCCAGAATCCCCTAGCCAGCACTGCTGGCTGGGGGATTCTGGGAGTTGAAGTCCACCCATCTTCAAGCTTCCAAGGTTGAGAAACACTGTTCTATAGGGAGAAAGTTCACAAGGCACAGAGGCCAGCCCTGCTCCCTCCTGTTGACTTATGGCGCAGATACAAACCATCCAAGCAGCATTTTATGACCCAGTGTTACTTCCCCTGGGCCCAGTCTTACATCATCACCACTCTGTAATTCCCATCCCCATCACTATTGCTCTTGATAATGACAGTGACATTGCTTTCTGGTAATCTATACAAGTAGTCCTCAATTTGCAACCATTTATTTAGTGGCCATTTGAAGTTACAACAGCAGCGAAAAAGGTTACTTATGACCGTTTTCACACTCACAACCTGATGCTGATGATGCAGCATCCCATAGTCATGTAGTCAAAATTTGGGCTCTTGGCAACTGGCATTTATGATCATTGCACTGGGATATCGCCATTTGTGACCTTCCCAGCAGGCTTCCCAGCAAGCAAAGTCAATGAGGGAAGCCAGATTCACTTAACAACTGCATGATTCCCTTAACATCTGCAGCAATTCACTTAACAACTGTGGCAAAAAAAAAAGTTCATAATAAAATAGTGCGAAATCCACTTAATAATTGCCTTGCTTAGCAACAGAAATGTTGGGATCAACTGTGGTCGTAAGTCAAGGACTACCTGTAATTCTGCAAGACAAGTTTTCATGCAGCTCTGTGCTTTGGGGCTGGACAAAGTCCAGGTTTTAGGAAAACTCAACCTTCTGTAACTCACTTCTTCCCCAGTCCTTTATGTTTCGACTTCACAATTTCCTGTAAAATGTAACTCAGTCGGTCAGCTGGATAGTTTTGGGCAGCATTCTTCAATCCTTGGATTTCGAGATCTTTCTGATGCAGTAAAAGGACCAGCGAACGGTAGTTTTCCAGCAATTTGGAATCCTGAAGCAGAAAATTGGATTCTCTGTTAAGGAAAGAGAGCCCAATGGTTACCATGCTGCCACCCTCAAGGAGGAGCTCTTTGGCTTAGGAGTAGACTAGCTACCATAATCACTTGTCAGAGTAGAAATAGATAATAGGGTATTGCTGCTTCAAATAATTGGAAGAAGCATGAAGGGACATTCCTTCTCGTTCATAAACCACAGGTTCTTCTTGCAGACAGGTGGGCATATCCTTTCTCTGAGTAGATGCTAGTGGCAAGGCTAATTCATAACATCCTGATGCCCCAGGAAGGATTTATTATATTACAAATCCAGGACAAGAGAACACCGTCATCTCCAGCATACCGTAGGTGTGCCATTCTCCACCATCTTTAAACATTTATGACCAATTTTATCAAATGACGGTTCATTGCCTGAAGCCAATGGTCATTTCCCCTGCATCATCTCTAGCCCAGAATGTTTGAGGGTATGGCTAATGCATACTTTTCTGCAAATGGAAATTAGATGGTACAGTCAATTCTAGCCTGATTTATTTTCTTTCTTTTTTCCCCCTGCTTGTTCTATTAGGTTTATTGAACATTTTTTTTAATACGAGCAAACAAACAAACAAACCTACAAACAAACAAACAAAAATAGATATTTACATCTTCTTTTCAACATCTTCGCATCAGTAATCTATATTTATACATTTTCCCTTTCTTATCTTAATCTATCTCTTATACATATATTCCTAGTAAATCATATATTTATATTCTCTTAATCTAAATATTTTATTTACTTTTAACATAAACAGGTACCTAGTTTCCTTTCCACAATGTATATTTTCCCATTTATTTACATATTTCTCCACCTAATTTAACCATTGTTTAGTTTTCTTTTGTCCCCCTTTTTGCCTGGTTTATTTTCAATATTGAAAGAGTGATCCCTTTTTGCAGGCCTTTTATACCCAGAGAAGGAAAGAAATATTGTTACGCTAGTTTCTCACCTGCTCTCTGTAATCAGCCAGCCAAAAAGACAAGTTTATCATTGCTATGTGAACTCAGTTACTGTTCCCTAGCATCAGGTGGAAACTTCCCAAGGCAGCTCTTAGTTACTGCCCTGTTTTATCTCTGTGTTGCAGGAAAATGGTCATAAAATAGATAAACCGAGTGCCCGCCTGGATTTACCTGGAAACAGACAATCCAGGACAATTAGGGTAGGCTGCCTGGATGGTTTATCGTACTGCATTTTCTTTCTTTTTTCCATGGGACACTATTTTATCATTTTAATAAATTTGCTTGTCCTGAATCTTTACTAAAATTCAGTTGTTCCCTGGTCATTGTTAATATTGCAGTAATGGGCAGAATTGCAGTACTTTCTGGAAAGTCAAAAACAAAGGATCGAATCCTCATAATTCAAGTTTCCATAAACTCATTTGATGACTTTAAGCCACTCACTGGTTTGTTGTGAGAATAAAAGGAGAAGTGAGCGAAACCACAGCGCCTTGAGGTTTTTGGAGGAAAGAGAGGCAAATACAGTAAATGCAAGAAAGAAGTTACCCTATAAATCCTTGGTAGTACAGGGGTTTAAGGCACCTGTACTACCAAGAGCCTTGGTAGTACAGGGGTTTAAGGCACCCTGTTATTAAGCTGGTTATTAAGACCAGCTGCCTGCAATTACTGCAGGGTTCGAATCTCGCCAAGGCTCAAGGTTGACTCAGCCTTCCATCCTTTCTAAGGTAGGTGAAATGAGGACCCAGTTTGTGGGGGCAATAAGCTGACTTTGTATAAATATACAAAAGGATGAAGGCTATTGCTGAGCACATTGTAAGCCGCCCTGAGTCTTCGGAGAAGGGCGGCATATAAATCAAATAAAAAAAAAAAAAAAATCCGATCTCAGTGTTCCCAATGGACCCGGAAACCCCAGTCTACCTTTCAAATTTTTGATTCTGAGGATTCTTTAAATTTATCTGACATTAAAAAAAAAAAACAAATACCCCCAACAACTGTCTTCCCAAAATGATCTATAAAACGTTTTGAAGCAAAAGTTAAACAAAATTAAACTACTGTATTTTTTGGACTATAAAACGCACTGGTGTATAAGACGCACCAAGATTTTGAAGAAGTAAATAAGGAAAAAAAGGTTTTTGCCCTCCCCAGCCCCCAGGAGCAATCTGCAGGCCTCCCAACCCCTCTGTGTGCCCCATTTTCCACAAAAATTGGCCCGTTTTTTTGTCCGTTTTTTCAAAAAACGGGGTGCACAGAGGGTTTGGGAGGCCTGCAGAGTGCTCCTGGGGGCTGGGGGAGGGCAAAATGCCCCCATTTTGGCAAAAAACAGGGCCATTTTTCACAAAAATGGGATGAGCAGGGCGGGGCTTCAGGAGGCCAAAAATGTATAAGACGCACCAACATTTCCACCCTCTTTTAGGTGTACTCTGAAAAATACGGTAAATTCTGCAGCTTAAAGTAGCAATTAGCTCTAGGCAAAAAAAAAAAAAAAAAAAGTAGATTCCCTGCCAATCTTTTTGGCAACATTATTTCATGGGATCTTTTATTCCCGAGCCTAAATAACAGTCTTGGGGTTTCCTATCCTATCTTGAATATTCCTCCTATCCCAGTACTAATCAGGTCTGATCCTACTTCTCCCCTCCCCCCCTTTATGGTCAGCTTGGTCATCAGGTACCCTCAGTCCCCTACATGTACAGCAGGGGTGGTAATAACTTATCTTCGCTACCAGTTCGCAAATGTGAGCGTATGCGCAGAACCTTCTGTGCATACGCAGAGCATCAAAAACGGGACGTGATGACGTCCAGGTGGGTGGGCGGAGACTCCCACAGCCGCCACTACCAGTTCGGCAGAACCAGATAGAACTGGCTGAATTACAGTCCCAGGGGACCCTTTTTTTCTCTGCAACTACCAGATCCCTACAGGAGGAAGGCTTAGAAGAAGAGCTGGCCTGACCCAGACAACCACCAGTTTCAGGCCGGACCCACGTACTGCAGCAGAGCTCCTGAGAGATCATCTCTGAGGGAACATGCTCTTCAAGAGTCAGAAAGACTTCTGTTAAGCAGGAAGCCGGAAGCCAACCTGTAGTTGGCCCAATTCACACAACACACTAATCAACCAGCCTGATTAGCAAGAGTGCATACATTCACACGTCTATCTGGTGCTGCCACTTAATCGGGCCAAAGATTTGTCTGAGGCTATTTGAATCACATAAGCCCACTCACACAAGTTATTTCAAGTTTATACGATAGAATTAGCTTCTGATCTTCTGAGGTCAGATCTTCGTAAACTAGAAAAAAGATAGCTTCACCACCAGATGGATTCACAACTGGCTGACAAATTGTACTCAACGAGTAGTTCTTAATGGATCTAAGTCTACATGGAGAGAAGTAAGCAGAGGGGTGCCACAAGGTTCCATCTTAGGTCCAGTACTCTTCAATATCTTCATAAATGATTTAGATGAGGGAATAGAAGGGGAACTCAGCAAATTTGCAGATGATACTAAGCTGGCAGGAATAGCTAACACTCTAGAAGATGGACTCAAGACCCAGATGGATCTTGACAGACTTGAACACCGGGCCCTATCTAACAAAATGAAATTCAATGTAGAGAAAAGTAAAGTCTTAGGTAAGAAAAACCAAAAGCACACATATAAACTGGGGGAAACCAGGCCTTAATAGCAATGACTGTGCTAAATATGAGCCAGTAGTGTGAAGCTGCAGCTAAAAAAGCCAATGCAATCCTAAATTGCATTAACAGAGGGATACAATCAAGATCAAGTGGCATACTGATACCAGTCTATAAAGCCCTAGTAAGACCACACCTAGAGTACTGCATTCAGTTTTGGTCACCACACTATAAAAAAGATGTTGAGACTCTAGAAAAAGAGCAGAGGAGAGCAACCAGGATGATTAGGGGACTGGAGACTAAAACATATGAAGAATGGTTACATGAACTGAGCATGGCTAGTCTAGTGAAGAGAAGGACCAGGAGAGACATGATAGCCGTCTTCCAATACTTGAGGGGCTGCCACAGAGAGGAGGGGATCAAGCTGTTTTCCAAAGCACCTGAAGGCCAGACAAGGAATAATGGATGGAAACTGACCAAGGAGAGATTCAACCTAGAAATGAGGAGGAACTTTCTGATAGTGAGAACAATCATCCAATGGAATAACTTGCCTTTGGAAGTTGTGGGAGCTTCATCACTTAAGACTTTCAAGAAAAGATTGGACTGCCATTTGTCAAAAATGGTGTAAGGTCTTCTGCTTGAGTGGGGGGTTGGACTAGATAACCTATAAGGTCCCTTCCAACTCTGTTAATCTGTTAATCTGTTATCTCAGGTAAAAAGCAGGAAGGGCTGGATAAGTTGGTAGTGTATTGTCTCATTAAGCAAGCTAGACAGCTTAGTTTAGGGGGTGGGGTGCACCCCTAATTCCATGTTGGCATGGTGAACTCTTATTGTTGGTCATGTCTCCTCCCAACTAATGTGTATATGTGTATTTGTGTATATATCCATATCTTTTCTCTGTATGTTCCTGTACATGCATCAAGACATTTCTTCCTGGCCTCCCATATGTTGGATTAATTATAGCTTGCCAGCTATTCTTAGCCCTCTTCAACAGCCTGCTATTTCTCTTTCCTCCAGCCTCCCACCAGGGTCAGCTTCTCGGGCTCCAACAAGCAATAGTTCTACAGTTTCTGGGCTCCTCAAGGCTCCACACTTCCTCTACCTGTCTCCACCTGTCTCCCATTCCTTCCACATGATCTCATCAATCTCCCGTCTAGTGATTATGTTTCATCTTGATATATTTTGGTTGCCATGGGGAAAAAGAATAAGCAGGGAAGAGAAGGTATATAACTTTGGCTGCTGGATCAAAAGACATAGCAGGAGTGTGTGTGAGAGAATTAAAAAGGGAAGAATTAGCTGATTTCCCTAGGACAGAGGTCTGCAACCTTAAACATTCAAAGAGCCATTTGGACCTGTTTTCCACAGAAAAGAAAACACTGGGAGCCACAAAACCCTTCCTGTGCCTGACTATT